TATCTCCTTTTTTTAACATACACAAATGCATAAAAGTCGAAATAAATTGTTTCATTGCCAATTGCCGAAATCACCCAGAAGTAAGCAATAATTATTTTTATGTAAACAAATCCATTAATCTTCATTCATGCTGTGATGGTAAAAACTATAGTAAAGAAAAAGTTTTACAGCAAATGCAGGAGGACTCCGAACAAAATGTTTTCTATGGTCTGACAATTTAAAATGCTATTATCTATACAAATGAAATAGATTTTCGATGAGGCATAACAAGAGATTAATCTTTTCTTTTTTCCCTGTGTATGGCTTGGTTTTTGCTTCTGTCCTCGGGTTTTGGCCGTCACCGTAAACTGGTTGGATGGGGGGTCCGGGCCGGGGGTCCAAAATAAAATGTGCAAATCTCGACCGCAATGGGGAATGAGAAATGCGTGATAGTCGGCCGACTCGGTATGAATCGGCAGTTTCTTGATCGTCTCTCTCCCTCTGCCGCTCTCTGTCTCTCCCTCAGCGAAGCTCCTCGATGGTGAAATCATGGGTAGCACACCCATGGATGGGCCCCCAACTTCCCCCGATTCTGCTCCACCACAGTTGCAAAAAAATGGCAAACTCATTTTGTGACTCGTTTTCGGCATAAGACACAAAGAGAGGCGAGCCGAGCCAACACATGGTTATCACGTGAACGAGGCGCCGAGCAGTTGGATCGGGTGCCTTCGTCGTGTGCGGGAAACGTGATCAAAGATCGGCCGAGAGAGTCGTGGTGCTCTTGGGCTCGTATGTAAGTGTGTGTGTGAGTGGATCGGATTGGGGCCTGCAAAATGGCAAAAACAATTAGCACAGTGCGGCGCCTCAATCTCTCTCTCGCTCTCTTAGATCGCATTCTTTGTTCCCCTCTCTCTTTCTCCACCTTTCTCCTCCATGCCCCGTCCCTGTCTCTGTCTTTAAGGTTATCGCTTAATCATTTTTGCACTGTTAACGCAAATACTCAATGTTGTTTGTTGTTTTTTGCCACAAATTATATTCGTATTTATATGAAGCGAGTGTTCAGCTGTATCCGCGGCGATAATGAATTGACAATTCCCATTTCACAACCAACGCTATGCTCGTTTTAGCTATCTATTTTGTCCCTATTAAAATGCCAAGTCATTCCAGGCAATTTTCGCCTGATCTTTGGATCTTCGTTCCAGCTAGCCCTATGTCGCTAGATAATCGCTTTAGCCCCGTGATGTCACGCCGCAGGTGATAAATCAGCGTTACTTTCATTCATCCGAGCTTGATAACGCTTACACAATAAAATGTGAAATACGTCTTTCTTTATGGCCCCTCGAAATCTTCCGCGAGATAAGATTCTTAGAGATAGATTCTGCAGTCGCACTGCGTCCACGAGAGATTTGTCGAGTGACTCAAGGCAAGGCAATCTTTTTTTTTCCACCTCCGGCGGAAATAACCGATCCCAAATGATCTATTTATAAAGTGGTCCGCCGTTTTTCAGTCTTTCTAACACCAATTAAATTGAATAAAATTTTGAATAAATTTTTCCGCAAATACGCGTCTTTGAGTGTTTGCCAAGTGGCTGACCCACAGACAATTTCCTAGCCTACCAACACCCCCTCTATCCTGACAGGGTGCTAATAGAGGGCCACGCCCCCACCTGGCACACCCACCCGACTGATCAATATCCGATAAAAGTTTCCAGCGCCAGTGGACCCACGCTAATTGAAATTGGCGGGTGGCAGTGCACAATGGACAATTGTCGCTGATTGGATACAATTCAATTACGCCGCCAGTCGGTAAGTCAAATATGACTTAGGAATTCACACAATCCCATTCGATTTGATCCCCCGCTGTAATGAACCATTTGCCCAAACATTTAGATGGCACCGAAATATAAATTCCAATATTGTGATCGATTATATCGACTTGTTTGCATGCAAAGCCATCTAAACTTGGGCAGAAGTCGAGCGATCGACGTTGAAATACTCTTTTCAATTTATTGGTCTTTATTGGCCGGCAAACGGTAACTGATATTGATCAAAATTAATTACTGCTATCTTTGAGAATGGAAAAGTTTCTGCTATTTATATACATTAGGTAACCGCGCTTGGGTTTATAAGCGCCTCACGACTTTTTGCCATGTTAGACAGTTTCTAATTGATACAAATTTGGTGTTGTAGTACGTTCGAAAATGTTATAAACATGCTTTTGAGGGTAGTTTTATTTTGGCAAACATTCATTTTATTTCATCATTAATCTTTTTATTTACTACATTTATTTATTTAGTCTGTTACTCGTTAAAACAGTTTCATTCCAATAAAGAATTCTTTTAATGTCTCTCGAGCCTATATTTCAGGTATATTTTCATTGACTTCGACAACTTAATAATAATAATTAAGTTTATTTAATTTATTCGGAATGAACAATTTGTATGAAACCTATTTTTAATTTACAGGATGTATTTTGTATTGTGATCGCGGTTGGGTTAAAATAGCCTCAAGATCAATTGCTAGCGAATTGCACAAAATAATGTGATATACCCTCCCCGAAGAGTGTCAAAAAAGACACATTTGCATAGACCAACATTTGTGGATAGCATTAAAATGCCGTTGGCGCCAACGCCTCAAACAATGTCCATGTGTCCGGGGACATCGTGATTAGCAGTGGAAAAAAACTCCCGACGAGCGCTGAACAGGAGCCAGAACCATCGATACATATTGGTACACAACCCCACTGGAGCGCAATTAGCCTGTTTAGTGGGTTTTTGTTTGGTTACACCTGGCGTATACGTAATGCAGCGAAAAAAATTTTTCCGCTGAGAGAGATCGATTATTGAACAATTCGAAATTTGAACAATGCTTTAGAAAAAGCTGCATATTAATTACTCTAGAGTAGTGCACCATATGGAAGAGATTCTATTCCCGATTCTCCGTCCCCCGCATACCCCTCATCACCACAATACCTGACGTCAAGCGGACTGACTGTTTACCATTAGTCAGGCGATAAGGTCTGGTGCTGTAACAATCACATCCATCAGTGCCTGCCTTTTCGAGTGGGCGTGTCACTTGATTAGATTGCTATTGTAGGGATTTCTCGACATTCTCTAATTTTAGCCAGCCATAAATCCGCAATTCGCTCAAATCACTTACTAAAAATGTCCCATTAGAGGCGATGGTTAATTCAGATCTGGTTCCGATAGGCGGGTTATGGATTGGGTCCCGGGGGCCTGGCTAATCGAGTGCCCTCCGAATTCGGAAGCCGATAAGGATCGTATGTCTCGAGATTCGCCAGTCAGGCAGTCAACAAATGAACGTGCCTTGAAACGTGTCTGCCATGTGCCTAAATTGATTTGCCATCCGCGAAATGCACAAAACAATATATAAATATAGAATACCAGTATATAGTAAGTACACCACTGAGATTATTTTTTGTACACATTTATTTGATAAATAATATCAATCACTGAAAATAATTCAATTGTAATCAGAACTTTTTGAGTTTAAGGGATTTTCTTGGAGACAACATTAAAAATAATGGTTTTGCATGCTTAAGACTTTATGAAATTTAAATATATTTACAAACTTTAAAATAACGTTTATATTCAGCAAATGTGTATTTTTATGTTATTTATATATATGTTTTTAATTGACAATATCAGAGAAAATAACTTATTGTCATTTTCGACAAATATAACGTAGGTATTTGTGATACATGACTAACAAATTAACTTAATAAGGATTGTAAATTTAACTACCATTATTAACGCAGAAATGAAATCAAGTAGGCTCTATATTTAGTTGATTTGGCTTATGCGTCGTTCTAGGTAGTAATAAATGTATTTCCCCTTTGATTGTTAAACTTCCCAAATAAAATATCATAAATGTATAATAAAGTTCTGAATTTATATTTTTTTTCTCTGTAAAAACAGGAATGGGAGTGGAGCGTTATCAGCCTGGGGCTGTCGTCATTGGCCCCTGACTCCTGTACCTTCTACCCCCCCCTCCCAGATCAACGTCCCTTAGGTGTTTGTTCGAATCAGAATGAATTTGCAGAGCGTTTCCTGAGGGAAATTTTAAGTGGGCCGTGGGGTGGGGATCGCCTGCGTTCGCCTCATTTACTTAGTCGAAAATCAAAGTCTGAAGTGTTGTGCGCTGATAAGCATAAATAATTTGTTTAAAACATTTCATTTTCAGCAATTATATTTTGATAAGACGAGAGTGGGGAAATCAATAATGGCAACAAAGAGGAAAGCCAAATAAACAAGTAAAGTAATTAAATGAAGGAATTTAATTGCACCGCTCAAAGGTTCCATGACTTATGCAAGCGAATGAAACAAGGGTGTCCATCGATCACCCAGAGCGTTGTTATGGATCGTCTCGAGGCTAGGTTATGTCATTAGCCAACGCACACAGAGAGTTCTCAGAAGATGGGATGGAACATGGAACACTAAGATCAGGCTTATCAGGGGAACCAATGACCTCGCCTGAGGTTTTCGTGGCACATTATCGCGCCGTTCCAGCGGGCAAGCTGTTTACCTAGGAGACCGCAGGATCCGTTTCATTCATGCCTTTGGTCGGAATTTGTATCTGGAAGATACCAGATTGCCCGAAGAGAGTCCGTGGAGAGAGCGGCATTTTCAGGGAGAGCGATCTGTGACTAATGTTACAGCCTGCTGCAGCCACTAAACTATACCCAGAAATCGGAGGGCTACGGCGGGGAGCGAGCGGCAGTCACTTGGCCCGAACTGATAACCATGTGCTGGTCTGGGTGTTGTTTACTTACTCCCGTTCGCCGGTTCGGCCAGAGAGAAATTCACTACCAGCACCGCCATACACACACACAAGTGTATCTGTGAGTGCCAGCGTGTTCGGTTTGGCAGATAGTGGAATTCACGAGATACATTCACGCTGTCTCCGACGGTTGCAGTTGTATTGGTGAGAGCGGTATTGCTTGTGTATAGAGCGTAGAGCGGTCGAGCGGTCCGAGTTCCGATCCGATCATATTTATAAAAGAATCGACCGCCTGTTACTAAAGCAGTCGCAATCGTTCGCCAGAACGTTCAAAACCCGCTCTTAGTTTGAAATTCTGAAAGTCCTACGCCCAGAATCTCTGGACCTGTAACCGTTTCCAAACTGAGGGAAAACAGAAACACGCGTAACAAAAAAAAAAATAAAATAAAATCGGGCCATACATGTGCCGCAACTTCATGACGGAACCGGAACACGCTGCGTGAGATATAGAGAAATTCCAGTGACCAAAACGCGAACGTTAACGTTTCGAAAAATCTGAAAAGCAAAAGTATACTAAAAATTCAACCCGCGCCGCACACATGACCACCGCATTAACCATGGTGAAACCGGGTGGTAAATACGCCAACGGTAAGTACTATACGAAACCCCCACCGAAGACCCACCAGGCAGCTCCGATCTCTCCGAGCCGTTGATCTTGGACAGCAGTGCAGAGCACGTGTCTTATGTAAGCACTGCGATCGGTCGACTTGATCCGAGTTTGTGTTGCCGGAAACCGCTTAATTGGTTCTCCAGCAGCAGCACTCCCATATTTCTATCTCGATCTCTAAATCAGTCGACATTTGTAGACACAGTTTTTCCAACTAGTCGTGCCTTTCAGCTGGAAGCGATGCTTCAGCAGTTCAGAAATATCTCAAATAATTATGCATTGGCACAGAGTATAGACGACCTCCACTGCACAGAACTGCATCCTCCGAGATACAATTTAATTTTTCCTCAATTTATTTACGTGCGTTTTTTTTTTCTGTGATTTTTGGTTACGCTGACAAACAAAATAAAATCACATTTTAGCACTTTCGAGTGATAAAAATAAACAAAACGACGAAAACCGAGAAAAGAGAGACAGTGTTTCAGCGCCAATGAAATGAAAAACTTTAAATAGAACCCGCTGTCCGGGGTTTTAGGAGGCAGGGGTGGTGGGATGGGGAACCGCTGCCAGTTTAGTCAGCTGATAAGCTGTAAACCCAAAGACAAATTCTCTGTTGTAAAACAGTCCGCCATTTGTTCATCTACACGTTCCAAATGCATGTGTGCTTCTTTCGCTTTTTCCGTCTTTCAAAGGGAATCTAACGGTAAACATAGTGAGTGGGTGTTGTTATAACGGGAAAGGCGACGCTGTAACCACCGGTTATCTTATCACCACACCGGGACCTCTTTCCGCGCCTGGAAAGCTCGGCCGCGTTCCAGTTTTATCGGGGCCCATTCCGAGCTATCGGTTATCAATACGGCACACTTGACTCAGTTAGTGCTAGTTGTCCTTCGCTTGTCCCGTCCCACTAACGGACAAAAGAGTTGACTGTACCCAAGGCCTGGTAATCAATCAAAATATACGCGAATATACTATAAATGGCACCCAATAAACACTCCAAGCTGGGACTCTACCATTATGGCGGGTCATAAATGCTGATTGATTTGGCTCGGCGTGTATTCCGCAGAAAATTGGTTTGCAATCGTTATTTTTGGCGAGGGTATGGGTATTCTTTTCTGGCACTCTCCGTGTCGAGACAAAAAGTTCTATATCTTGGCCATAAATTTGCCTGGCATTACGCCTAAGGGGAAGACATTGCGCAAATAAATTTAAAAACGTGTCAGATAAAGCGTTCTCACACGACCACGAGTCATCATCGCATTCAACACGATAAACTCACACGAAAGAGACGGCGCTACCGCGGGTGAAAGAGAGGGGGCGCGAGACAGAGAGAGATAGTGGGAGCGCCACTCAACCAGAGGAAATGGAAATGGAAGTGGAAGTGGGAGAGTGAGCTCAAAGTTCGGACTTCAGTTTCGGACGGCAATTCGAATGTCAAATTATTGTGTAGCTTGAATCACCATCTGTGGAAAAATTAATACTGGTATCCAGTTTTTTCCATGAAAGTTTAATAAGTTGATGAAATAAAGGTTTTAACTAGTATTAGTATTGCCCTGATTTTTTTCTTACAAAAGTAAATATGTTGTGGAAATTCGAGTTGTCTCACCTTCTGATGTTAACAAAGAAGTTTGATTAACAATTAAAATCCTCCTCATATTTTACTTCCTCCAAGACTTATTTAAAAAATTTTAGAAAATCAGTTTCTTAACAAATTAGATTTTGGGAAATTCGAACTAGAGAGACTTTAGACTGTGATTTTAATTATGGGTTTGGAATCAAACTCGAGCTTGGGGTTCAATAGACCCCAACGCCTTGTAAGGCCGCGTTGCAAGGTTGCCAACGGTGGAGCGGTGTTGCAATGCGCACCACCCTCCCACCGCCCACTGCCCACCTCCTACCGGCCAGCAACCCACTCCTATTTATAAAGACTAAGCCATTTATGGCAAACCAAAGTCGGGTTTAAAAATAGCCAAACGCACGAAAACAAATCCGCGTAAGGCAGAGACCAGCAAAATGCATAAGAGATCGTCACGTGAGGATCGCCCGATCGCCCCGAACAGGTAGTGTGGGCCACATCTTTATAGTATAGTACAGCACCGTCTCGCTGCATTTTACACAACAATAACACGGGTCTCTCAATGCCCGATTCTCAATATTCGCAGCCAACTTTGGTCGAGTGGGTGTCTCTGTATACGTGATGTTTCCACCCATCTCTTTCTCGCCCGCTGGCCCGCTGGCATGTGCGTGCGTGAACAAGATTTTGACATAGTCAAAGTGTTTTATAAATAAACGCGCCCCACATACTTACATGGCTACCAGTTTGGGCTTACTGAGCGGCCATAAGAGAGGGAATGGGAGAGAGAGAGCTCAGAGAGCTGGGTATTGATAAGGGGCTAAGAGAGATGGAGAAAAAGCGCCACATGTGAGGTCAACCCCCCTCACCTTGTTCACCATGCTAACCTTCTCTTTCACTTCCAGAGAAATTCTTCGGGGTGAGGCATGTGCAGTGCATCCTGTGCTTCTTCTGCCTGGCGATGAGCTACGCCTGGCGAGTGAACCTCAGTGTGGCCGTGGTGGCCATGTCGGACAACAGCAACAACACGGCCCAGAACAATACCGATCATAGCGAGGAAGCCGACGGCTCTGAATTTGACTTCTTTAATTCCGAGGTAGGTGCAGATATCTCTGGAGGTCTTGAGATCCATCATCAACAGATGTGAAACTCTCGAATCGATTTTGTAATCCATAATGTATTTCGAAGTGCTCTTTATGGCAATGTTAGTCGCTACTTGATAAAAAAACTTAAAAACCACACAACTTTCGCTTTTGTTACAAGCATTGCCTTTAAATTTGTTATACATAATAATTACTCACTTTTTATAATGTATGCTATGTTTCAATGAAAACATTTTTCATGCGATCATCCATGTTACATAAATCCATGTTGTTCTGAGTACTGTAATTTGATGTGGTTTTTGAGGTTTTTACTATAAACTTGAAGTTAGCACTGATTATCACTTAAGTTTCGCAATCAAGGCATTAAAATGAAAATGTTTTTTTTGTTTTTAATTCCGTTAAACCCTATCTAATCTCTCCTATTTCCCACAGCGCTACTACAGCTTCACCAAAGACCAGAGGGCGTACATGCTGGGCAGCTTCTTTTATGGGTACGTCGTCACCCAGGTGCCCGGTGGCTACTTTGCCCAGATTTATGGAGCTAAGACCATGCTGATGTACGGATTGGGGATAGCCGCCTTAATCACGATATTGTCGCCGCTTTCCCTGCAGCTCGGTGGATGGTTCGCCCTATGTTGCATGCGATTCGCCATGGGTCTCAGCCAGGGTGCAGTGCATCCGGCGACGCATGCGCTGCTGGCCAAGTGGTCGCCCGCCCAGGAGCGAGGTCTACTGGGAACACTCTGCTACTCTGGCGCCCAGTTTGGAACGGTGGTGATGCTGGCCACGAGTGGTTACATCGCGGACTCCTTCATGGGATGGCCGAGTATCTTCTATCTGGGCGGAGCTTGCGGCTTCCTGTGGATGATCTTCTGGTACGTGTTCTCGGCGAGCACGCCCGAGGAGCACCGTCTCATTTCGCCCGAGGAACTGAAGTACATCACGGAATCGCGCAGCGATGGCAAGATGCAATCGGCTGAGAAACTGGCGCCCACACCGTGGAAGTCCATCTTCACCTCACTGCCCTTCCTGTCCCTCCTCGTGGTGCACTGCACCCACATGTTCGGCTTCTGGCTGCTGCTCACCCAGATTCCCACTTACATGAAGGCCATCTACGGCAAGGATATTAAGGAGAGTGCGCTGTCCTCCGCTCTTCCCTACATGGTGATGCTGCTGATGAGTTTCTTCTTCGTCTGGCTGTCGAAGGTGCTGCAGAAAAAGGAGGGACTGTCGCTGTCCTTCAACAGGAAGATCTTCAACACCATTGGCCACTGGGTACCCATGGTGTCGCTCATAGCCCTGGGCTATGTTCCCCAAGATAATTCCGCACTCGCGATAACACTGCTCACCGTTACTGTGGGAATCAGTGCGGCCACCTATCTGGGCTTCCAGGTGAACCACATAGATCTGTCTCCGAATTACGCCGGCACTCTGATGGGTCTTACGAATGGAGCGGCGAATGTGATGAGTGGGATTGCTCCAATAATCGTTGGCTGGATTGTACATGATGAAGTGAGTTTGATGGCCCCACATGTTTAAGAGAATAAAATAGTAATGATATTATTTCCTTCCCTTTAGAAAAACGTGCATGAATGGCGCTTGGTGTTCCTACTGGCAGCCGCCTTCTACTTCGTGGGCAATCTCCTCTTCGTGATCTTCGGACGCACGGAGGTGCAGTGGTGGGACTCTCCGCGGGACAACAAGGAGGATGCGGAGCAGGGCACGCCCCTCGCGCCCAACGGCCAGGTCAAATAGAGGCAGGCACAACCATACCGCTTCCAGAATCATCCGGGCTGTTGTTTCGTAGTTTAGTAGGCGTAGTTAGTTAGTTAGAGACCAGACAAGCTGAAAGTTAACTTTAGTGACGATCGCGTGCTTCCATTAGCGATATTATACGGTAATTGCTTAGTCCTAAGGCAGAGTAAATTATTATTGTTTGCAGTATTTTCCATAATGTACATAATCCCAAAAGAAAGAAAAAAAAACAAACAAACCAATTAAACTTGCAACTTGAGAAAGCGTTCAGTGTAAATAGGGACTAAAGTCCGCGACGAGTGTAATCGCTGCTGCAACATCAACTCTAGTAATTGTTATGTTTTAGTGTTAAGTTAGGCATAAACGAAAACCAAACTTGTGATGAAAGAAAGTAAACTAAAAAAGGCAAAAAGAATGATGGAGACAATACTAGCCATAAATAAAACAGCTCAATTCGCAGCTGCAAAAGAGTCAAACTGTACCGAAATCAATTGTGTTTTATTTAAACTGGTATTTGAATTTGATAGCCAGTCGCCGCTGGATGTCTATCGATAGGATCGCATAATCGAATAGTGTGGGTTAAATAATAGGCTGTTCTCATTAGTTTTGTTTACTAATTTATAGGATTGTTCTTATGTTTTTTCATTGTATTTAATATTGGAAAATTTTCTTGTTTGCATATAAAAGGAAATGATACACGTATTAAGTTTGTCTATTAGCCTTTTGAGTTCTTCTTTGATGCAAATGGTGGGGAATTCATTATATGTGGGTTATATAAAATGTTTTCACTTATTATTAACTTTGTTCAGAAAATTGAATATGTAGAATCGTTATAAATACTCGACATTAATATTTTATATATGAGTAATTTAAATCTATCATGTCTCTACCTCGAACTATCGTCGCACTTGTTGAAGCGATAGCCTCGATAGTCCCTCCTCTATGTGAGTAAGCAGCTGGCCATTTGTGTTGCTATCAGCTGATTTATGTTTGGACGCTCATTCGACGCGTAGTCCCCCCATTCCAAACATCCCCATCGCAATAATCCAACGTAACATCTAAGTTGGCTACGTGGAAGAGATTGCACCTGCATCTGCACCAGCAATATGGTGCTCGGATGCCTGCCCTGCTGCAGCCACAATGGATACCAGCAGATCGGGAATACGGGTGAGGGGGTATTGCATGACCTTCTGGTCTTTGATTCCTCACCCGCAATTATTTACGTGGATATTGCGCACTTTAATTGCAGGTCCTCGATTTGGAGTGCGTCACCTGCAGTGCATTCTGGTGTTCTTCGGACTGGCCGTGGCCTATTCATTACGAGTGAATCTCTCTGTGGCCATTGTGGCCATGACGGATCGGAATGCCAGCAATCCGGACTTTCCTGTACGTATGTAAATTTAAGCAATAGACTAATCAACGAATCGAATTAATTTATCACACTATGTTTTATAAGACTTTGATCGTGTTTCGAAAATCTTTAAAAAATTGTGCATGCGCTCGATCAACAGATTTAAAACATACTGTCATGCAGCAGGACTCTTATAAAAACAGGACAATTAAAATGCCTACTTTTTGCAGGAGTTCGACTGGAACGAGAGCACCAAATCTTACCTGCTGAGCAGTTTCTTTTGGGGCTATGTAGTCACCCAGATTCCTGGCGGCTATCTATCCTCCATTTATGGCGCCAAGTACATGCTCTTCTATGGCGTGCTCATCTGTTCCGTTTTGGCCCTGTTAACGCCGTTTTGTGCTGAATTCGGTGGCTGGGAGCTGGTAGTGGTGCTTCGGGCAGTGCAAGGCCTCTGCCAGGGCGTCATCTTCCCCTCGACACATACGTTCCTATCGAAGTGGGCTCCGGCTGAGGAGCGCGGTCGGTTGGTGGGCTACACCTACTCCGGATCTCAATTCGGAACGGTGGTGATGCTGTCAGTTAGTGGATATATTGCCTCCTCCTCGTTGGGCTGGCCCAGCACCTTTTACATTCCAGGATGCGTTGGAATCATTTGGGCATTTGTGTGGTTCTACTTTAGCTACAGCACTCCTGCACAACACCCCACGGTCACGCCGAGTGAGCGAAGGTTTATCGAGTCATCTGGTCAGGCAAGGAGGCCTTCCGATGCGGGACGCGAGGAACGACCTCGTCCACCGACTCCCTGGTGCAGCATCCTTACTTCGGGACCCTTTTTGGTGCTCGTCCTCGCCCACTGTGCTAACAACTGGGGCTTTTGGACGCTGCTCACGGAGATTCCCACCTTTATGAAGAATGTGCTTGGCATGGACATAAAAAACAATGGACCACTGTCGGCGCTACCCTACTTCGCTATGATCCTACTGACCTGTGCCTTTATCTGGCTGTCGGATGCATTGAAACGTAGAGGAACGGAAATTCCCTTGGGATTCTCCAGGAAGTTATTCAACACCCTGGGAATGTGGCTACCGATGCTCGCCTTAATCGGGTTGGGTTACATCACAGAGGGTGAGGCTAATGTCCGGCTAGCCATTGGACTACTTACCGCGGCGGTGGCCACAAATTCGGCTACTTATCTGGGCTTCCATGTAAACCACATCGATTTGTCACCCAACTTTGCGGGTACACTAATGGGTATTACAAATTGCGCGGCAAACTTCATGAGCATACTGGCACCACTCATCGTCGGACTGATAGTTAGGGATGAGGTAATTGAATGGATTTAATTGTCTTATTATGTTTCTGATGTGTTTTATTTTTCACAGACAAATCCAGCGCAGTGGCGAATAGTGTTTTTCTTCACCGCTTTTGTTTACTTTATTGGCAATCTGCTGTTTATGCTTTTCGGACGTACAAGGGTTCAATCCTGGAACGCACCCCTTCCGACCAGGACCCCTTCGCCTGGAGATGGAGGAAGAGAGCCGAATGAAGCTGGTGAGGATCGAGCCCCGCTCATCGACTCCTAAAATATAACGTAGGACGAGGCCTAGGAATTGGTTGTAAATGTGAAACTTTTTGTACCTTAAAGGAGAATCATTCCATGGAATTGATGAATCGCAATTAGTATCGTATTACTATTTATACATTCGAAACATATTTATGTCTACATATATACGGAATATATATATTATTTATGTATACAGCATCGAAAAGCTCTGTGTGGATTTTTCGTTTCGTTTTTATTGGTATTTGTAGTTGCATTTGTATTGTTAGTACACAACGATGTACATATGGTACAAGACTTATATGCTGGCTATGTGGTATCCTGACATAATGCTAAGTCTAATTTCTATCAACTAATTGTTCTAAATGGGAATATCAGGGGTGTATCAAAGGAAGCTATACGTAGGTGAAGTTCTCTAATAGATTTTTCATTCAATGTTCTTACAGAGTAAAATTTGTTGAATATTATTAATCTTATTTGAATTTCTTTCTTTAAACTCCTGGAATTATCTTCACCCTATCTTAAAACTCCCAGGCCCATCGATCTGATGTATACACATCCATCTGCTTATCCTTAACATATTTGTAGTTAAAGCTAGGTAATTACAAGTGGATACGGCTATGTATTTTGGGCCATCGCAGCTGGAAGAGCTGTCCCATCCACCCTCCATGGAGTTGGACCCCTGAACCCCATCCGTATCCCCTCTGCCCATATGTACATGATGAATCTCTACGCCTTCCGCTGCCGGAGGAGTGTGTTCAGTGCAGTTTGTGGTTGGCGGGCAGATCCTCGGAGCGTATGCATCGTCCGCGGTAGCAGATCTCTGTCTCGGAGGTGACTTTGGTCGACGTAGAAGTGGCGTACACCACATGCTCCATCAGATCCTTGTGGAAGCTGTCCTTTTTGCTCTCCGCCACGGTGGCTTCTGTGGTGGTGACCTCATCCGCTGGCCCCAGAGTGGTTTCTTCCGAGGGCGTTGATGGACTGGTGCGCCGGATGCTTGTGTACTCCTGGCGACGCTTGCCCACGGCAGCCAGGGCAGCGGTCACTGCCTCGTCATCGCTCTCCTCGACGGCGAAGAGATCATGCAGCTGCTTCTTCACTTCCGAGAAGATGCTGGGCTGGACCTCCAGATCATCCACATCCGCTGCCGTGTCCATACGGCGCGTGGCGCTCTCCTCGCTCACGGGAAGGGTGGAGGTAATGGTGGTCTCCTCTACACCACGGGCGGTGGTCACCTCGTACTCCTCGGGCGTCGTGGGAGGGGCTACTGTTGTGGTCAACGCCAAAGTTTCCGTCTGAGCCTCGGTGGCGGGTGTTAGCGGAGTGGTGGTCTTAGGCAGCTCCTCCTTTTCGCTGGCAGCTTGAAGGGCATTGTAGAGCTGAGGTCCCAGATTCTGAGATTCGGCCGTCTCAAAGTTCTCGGAGTTATCCGAGCTACCAGATAAACGGTTCTTCTTTTGCCACTTGCCACGTCTACTGAGCCGACTCACAGTACTGCTAGTGGATTCAGTGGTCGATTCCTCTGGTGCCTTGCCCATCACTTCCTCCAACAACTCCGCAAAGGATTTCTCTGGCCTGAAAGACATTTGTCAGAATAAACCTTTTTGTATAGTTTGATAAATTCTTACTTGAGATTGGGTGCCATGATGGTGGTGCGCTGAACAGCCGATCCTCCAAGATCAGCAGCCACATTGATCTCGTAGGTTTCCGGCTGATTGGTTGGTCCTGCAGTCACAATCTCCGGTTCACTGTCGAAGTTGTGTGTCTCCGTTTTGTACTTGGGACTCAGTGGCTTGAAGCTGTTTGTGTTGGTATTGCTGTTGGCTGTTTCCGATGATGGCGACCACTGGGACTCCTGACCCTCCAGTTGGAAGGGTTGCTTGTAACGACGACGATGGGTGATGGGGGACTATAATTGGGGGTAATGTAAGAGGCTGTGTATATAACTCTCAAAATAATATTACCACTGTTGCCTCCTTTTCCTTCGGCTCTTGGTTGTTGTAACGGCTCAGCTTACGCAGACTTGGCTTCTGGGTGATGGGTTCGGATTCCTCCTCGGGCGCCACTGTTGAAGAGGAGGCAGGATGCGAAGGGCGACGCTGTCGCTGGCGCACCTTCACCACGCGACGAGGTGGCAGACGAGAGCGGATCTAAAAAAGTAAAATAATGGAATTAGGTTTGGGAAAATTAAAAAATACCTCAAAATCTTACCGAGGGCCTCTCCTCCGAGGGTGTGGTGGAGGTCACTGGTGCCTCTGTCGTTGTGGTTGTCCGCAGTCGTGGATAGTTCCTCCTCACGAAAGGCGAGCGACGTGTTGTCGTGGTTGTGGTCAATGGAGCCTCAGTGGTTGTAGTTGTTGTGGTCGTGGTGGTTGAAGGCGTTGTGGTGGCCAGTGTGGTGTAGATTGGGCTCACCTCATTGCGGACGATGGCCTCCGTTGGGTTAAGATCTTCCTGGTTGGGGAAGTACCCCGGTCCGTAGTTATCCTTGGAGAACTCCTGGTAGTGCTGAGCAATCTGCATGGGTTCCAGCAAATTGGTGGGGAAAACGCTCTGCTCGTTACCCCCATCGATACTGTTGCTGGGAGTCACTGTGTACACCTGCTGGGACTCCGAAGCGGGTCCCTCGGTGGTGGCCTGCACATCGTAGGAGCTGGGAATTGCCGTGGGGCTGGTGGGTCGCCTGGACGAAGCCTTGAACACCGGGTAGTTCTGCTTCAGCACATCCCTTTGGTAGTCGATGTCCTGATCTTCGTGTGGCTTGCCGTTCTTTGAACCCTTCCTGGGCTTCGTTTTCAGGGTGTGGCGCTCTTCGGTTGTAGGCCTGTAGCGGATGCGATTGGGGTTGCGGATGAGTGGGTTTCGGGCACTGGTGGGTCGACGGGTGGGGGTCACTGCTGACTCCTCGCCACCATCTCCGCTGCCGGTGGAGGCGTCTGGCGCTGTCGTTCCTCGGCTGCTGTATGGCCTCCTAATCCGGTGCGTGGGCAGCTTGCCACTGGACTCCGACTCTGAGTAGGAAACAGAGGAGGTCACCTTGGTCACTGCTGGCTTACGCGTGCGCAGCACAGGTCTCCTCGTCGGTCGCGTTTCCGGTTCCAGTTCGGCCAAAGGAGTAGTTGGGACAGGTGGCTGCAACTTATCCTTCTCCTGCAGATTGTTAACCAGTCCGGGAATATCGGGAGTCAGAGCTGGCAGTTCCGAGGGCACATGGTAGGGATTCGGTTCGTACTCCACATTGCTGTTATCCAGAATCTCGTTTTGAACTTGGTTGTAGCTGGGGCGATGGTTCAACGGCGCCTGCTGCTCCACATTGTTATAGCCCACATCCGAAGTGGTGACCGGAACTGCAGCGGGGGTGTACAGATTAATCCTCTGCTTGGTCTTGATCCTCTGAGTAGTTGTGGTTGTGGGCAGAGGAGCCTCGTAATCGGCAGAGCTTGGAGTGTATTCAAACGGAGGGCTGGTGGTCTGTGGGCGCTGGCGGAAAGCGTCCTGCTGACGGAAGTATTGCTTCATGCGGTGCTCCTCCTCAGCCGTGGAGGCAGTTGGAGGTCTGGTGGTTAGTCGGGGAAGTTGCTCCTGCACTGGTTCCTGGACATACTGGGGATACAACTGGCCACTGGAGCCGGGGAATTCGATCTGAGGTCGCGTGCTATACGTAAACAGGGATTGTGGAGCAGCCGTCGTGGAAGTGGTGGATGTTGTGGTCGACGTAGAGGTACTGGAAGTAGAGCTAGTGGTGGGTTTGCTGCCCAGGGTCTTGAAGAAGTCATCTCCTCCAATCTGATTGAGGGTATCGAAGGGATTCTGACTTTGGGCCTTGGTTGGCGAGGGACGGTAGAGGGGCTGCTGCACCTGGACACTCTGGGGACGCTTCTTCTTGTGTCGCTCCTGCTTGGCGGGAATCTTGGGAGAGCTCACCTCCTGGATGCCATCCTGCACATAGTAGTAGCTGAACTTGTTGCCACGCTCGGGAACCTGACCTTGAGCCTGGATCTGCGACTGAGTGGTGCTCTCGAAGGGATTACGAGTGCTACTCACGGCAGCGTATGGACGTTGGGGACGCACAGCAGGTGATACTTGTTGGCTACCCGCGATATCCTTAGCCCTATTGACCACAATGGAACCCACATGAGGTTCGGGAAGCAGGATCTTATTAAAACCATTGGGTGTACGGTAGCTTAGAGGCGCCACAAAGAAGGACACATCACTCAAATCGCGATTGGAGGTCAGTTGCGAAAGATAAGGCAGATCGAACTTGACATAGCCATCGGGAATGGGCATGCCTGCGGGTCCCACAAAAATCTCCGGCGTCTGCTTGGTGGGCGAATCAATGACGGAAATGCTGTGGGCACTCCTCAGGGCAGTGACCACATCTGAGTGAGAGGGACGCGAACTGGAACGCAGCAGGAACATGGCCAGAGGAGGCTGATGGGCCTTTGGCTTGGGTTTCGGTGTAGTGAACTGAGTCTGCGTTTGCGACTGCAGTTGAGGCTGTGGCTGTCCAAAGCTCTGGAAGATGCTCTGTGGCTGACTGGTGGTGGTACTAGGTCTTGAAGTGGTTCCCGTGCTGAAATAGTCACTGCCCACAGTGGGATCTTGGGTGTAGAACTGGTTGATCTGGTAGGGATTCACCGCCGGCAGACCCGGATTCACATTAAACTTGTTCACATCGAAGTTGGAGTTCGATCCAGATCCCGATTGCTGGCGCTGCTGGTTGTACAGGGTATCGTAGGGCACATAAAGCAACTGCACTTCCTGATCTCGAGAGGAGGATGGGGCAGCCGATGGAGCTGCCTTGTTCGATCCGAAAAGGGTATCCGCTTCGGGATCCACGGGAAAAACTTGCGGGGTAACGCTCTGCAGCGAAGGCTGTGTGGGCAGCGGTTTTCCCAGGGTCTTTGGAGGCAGGATGTCCTGGATGTAGTTCTGCTGATGGAGCGGCTTGTTCAGAGCCTGAGCCAAGGGCTTCTGGGAGCTCAGCGAATGGAAGTCAGAGCCAAAAGGTTGTCCCTGCTGTTGTCCGAAGAGAGATGGAGGACTGAAGATGGAAGAAGGAGCTGGAAAGCCCCCAGTTCCGGCTCCAAAAGTGTGCTGAATTTGGTAGCCCGTTTGCAGAGTGGGTGGCGCCTGGGCCTGACCCTCGCCATTACTGTGGAAGGGCATCTCGAACTTGAAGAAGGACTGCGAGGTGGGCTCCTGACCCACTCCAGATCCCTTCAGCGAAGAAGGCGGTGGTGGCGCAGCCTGGCGAAGTGGTAGTGCCTGACCCGCTCCATTGGGATACCGCTGGAACTGGAAGGGATAGTCGAACTGGGAGCCCGTCTTGGTCAGATCCCCGAAGCGAGCGCTGGGCGGGAAGGTCTGTGAGTAGGTCAAGACGCGTCCATTACCCGTGCGATCCTTGCTGCCATCCAGGGGTTGGGCTAGGGGCACCCAATCCAATGAATCCGTATCGGATGTGGCTACATTCTCCAGTTGCCGTGACCATTTCGCGGAGGACTCTTGATTTTGAGCTAGACAAGCCGTGGCTAATAAGCACAGCCAGGCGGCGGTGAGTTGCATGCCTTGCTTCATAGCTTAAATGCCTGGAAGGAAAACGATTTAGAAACGATTTAGATTAAATGAAATATTTATTTATTTAAAAGTCCTAAATCTATAAAAAAAATTCCACTTGTTAATTATATTTATTATAAATAATATTCCTTTAACAGTCTGTATATATTTAACCCCATTATTGAAGCCAAAACAAAAAACTTCTAATAATCTTTAAGCCAAGTATTGGCTGGTTAATTAATTTTTGCACGCAAAGCTTGACATTCTGAAATGCCAATTTTCGATCCAGACCAAGTACAAGAGGTCACCCATTGTTTGTTTGTATCTATATCGATTTGACTTGGATGAAATTATCAAAATTTCACAATGCGAATTCTAAAACCTCAATGAATTACAGGTTGTTTTCAGGCCGATCGAACAACTGCGGCGAAAGGTCACCAATAGTAATGCCAAAAAAAGGCAAAAACTTATACTTTTAATGCCACAAATTCGAAACCGGAACACCCAGAACCGGTAACTAATTGTCCCGTGTAATTATAGCAAGCCAAATGCAAATCGCAGAGTTAAGTCGCTGAATTCCTAATGAGATCTTTTCCCATAGCCAGCCAACCAGTTCGATTGCCCAACCTGGTGCCAAGGTCGATGGGCGTTGGATGTTGAATGGTGGATGGTGGATGCAGCTGGGAGCTTGATTCTGGGCGATTTGCATTTTTCACGATCGCCAGCAACTGGGGGCAAGTGAAAGGCTTCTCCCCGTTTCGCTGGCTGGGCTGGCTGGCTGTAAATCAAGAGATAATTGCCGGGGTCTGGGTCTCCGCTCCGGCATCTGGATTGGCCGCTCGTGTGGCAAGTGTAACTGTCGGTGCAACTGGTCGGCAAGCGGGCCATAACTGCCAGCCAAGTGGCCATAATTGTGCGCTTGTTTTCATTTGGCCAATGCGAGAAATTGCAATACTTAAGGCGAAACGGCAGTCGCAGTGGCTTTTGGCTTGGCTTTGGTAATGCACCATTGGGTAGCCATGATCCATGAACCGCGATCAATGATCGGCGACAGATTTCCTCATTGCAAAACGGTTTTGCATACGGCCAAGACTGGGATGCTAATTGCGTCATCATCCTTCTTTTTTTGTTTTGTTTTGATTTGAGTAAAGAGTGAAGAGCCCGCGAGAAGATTGGGCATATATGAATATGAAAACGAAAGTGAGGCTGCCAACTGACCAAACCTGACCACTGACCACTGGCCAAGTGAGCACACACAACTGCAGATCTGCGATCTGCGATCGTCGAGCACTTTCGTTTTCACTTTTCCACTGAATTAATCGCATATACGAGTGTATGCCCCCCGAACGGATGCCGCATTAAATGGGTTAAACGAAAGCAAAAGTCCGCAAAATGAAAACAGTAAAATAATGCGAAATATCGTAACAGCGTAAAAACGGAACTTGCAGCGGTGCAGCAAGTCGGGAGAGCACTGTCTACAGGTGGCACAGTGAAAGAAGAAAGTTCATTTTGGCGGCCAGTCCGTTCAGTGTGCTATTAACTGGCTGCAGCCAGAGCGGGATGGCAGCAAAATAATAGAAATTAGACTCACTTGCGGTCAATATTTCGGACCACGACTCCGAAAAACCAGTTATCAAAAGGCCCAGCAAAGCAAACAAAGCCCATCGTCACACCTCAGTGGTTTTTCTTTTTTGCCGAGAGGCGAACTGCACTTGAAATCCCCGCCGATCATCGAAAGTGAAATGTGACAATGCCCTCGGAAAGCGGTATGTCTGGGCTCCAGGTAACTGGCAATTTCCCTTTCATTTTGGGGGGCGTCGAAACGGACTTTCCTCGCTGGCGTGGGGGCGTGTATCTGTGAAATTAATTGCGCGACAGGCTGGATGGCTGGTAGCTGACCAAAAATTATAGAGCCGGATGTAAACAGGCCAAGACCTAAGCCGCTTAAATCTGGTCTAAGATCCATGACGGGATTAGGTGGTCCGCCTTCTGGCATTGACATTGTTTCATCGCTTTGCTGATCATTTGGGTGTGATTTAATTGGATTACCAGTGTCCACACCCCGGCACGCACCACACCCTGTAATCCGCGGGGGCGGCAAGGTCACTCCATTGTGCACTTACCATAAACAGCGGCAGCAGTCGACAGCTAACTAACTTGGCCCGAAGATCGTCGAGGTAACTGAAAAGCAAACCCAAAACAATGTGGCATTAGTTGGCGAGTAATTAAAAGGGATTACAAGATGTATGCATAGCTGCCCTCTCCAGATGTGGTAATAGTAATGCCACCTGCAGATACTTTTGTATCTTGAGGTTTCTAGAGCGCTGGCTTTAATTGCATCTGGAGGCTGCAACGGCCACGCTTAGCTGGCCACACACACCACACACAAAAACCTATTCTACGTTCGTTTTTTTTTTTTTTTGGAAACGCCTGCGGATCTGCGAGATACTTGGTGCTGCAGCTGGGTTATTAGAGCGCAGAAAACCAAGAATGTGCGTGACCCAAGTGACTCACTATTGGCAATCCCCACGAAACTATGCCAAAGCGTGACACACACTGCCCGCCAGATACTTGCACAATTGTGGCACATTAAATATCGACTGATTGTATCGCTCTAATGCCGAAATCCGGCATCTTTCGGTTACAGTTACGGCCAATTAGCGTGACTGGCTAACTACGGGGCCGGGATTGATGGCCACCGTAAATCGGCTGGGCTGGCAAACGCATAAATTATGCGCAGCCAATGAACTCGTCGCCAAACGCAAAACACAAAACTGAAAAAAACGAAAGCGACAATGAAATGCACTTCTCTGTCTACCCCGACTGCCATTCAGGGGGCGTTGCTATTTTTCCAGCTGGGCCTGCCGGAAAGAGCCTCAATACCAGAAGGAAAACGGACGGAAAATCACTCATTTGTTGTTCGACTAATTCCTCAAATTTTATGCTACAGCGACCCCCGAAGAAATGTTCGAAATTATTAAACGAAATGTAAATTTCACGCAACGCAGAAATACAAAAAAAAAAAACAAAAACTTTCATTTCTCGCTGCTTTCCAAATGAGGTAAGTGGTTGGCGGCAGAGGTGGAGATATGTTGGTGGCACCTGCTCAGCAAACCAAAACATGCCGCGGGCCATGGCTTGCGTAATCCCAAGAATTTATGCTCGAGCATTTGAAAGCGAAAGCATTTCTCTTCGATATTTGGCATGCGGGGGAGCGGAGGTTGCGCAACCCATTACAAACCGGATACGTTGGCCCGTTTGACGAACGGAATTCACTGTTAAACGCTTATCACCCCGCTCATCGCAAATCGAATTACGCAAATGATGGGCCAAGCTAATTACAAAACTCTTGCCACAGGCCTCGTCGCCACTGAGCCGCAGATAACTGGCCCAAAACAATGTGACAATTGCAAAAGAGCAATACTTGAGCTAACTACTTTATACATATATATATGAAAAACCATAAAGCAAGCGCTGACAAAACAAAGCAGCAGCCAACTGGAGCAGCTGAAGAAAGCAAGAGTGGCTCGGAAAATATACAGGCAGCAGTACGAGTACGACTGCAAATACTTGTTGGCCATGTCTCAAGTGGGGCTCATTCTGGCCCAGACCAGAGACTTGTGCAACGCGACTAGGGTATCCACATAAACCGCCTGCCGCAGATATATGCCCAGATGAACATTAGCAATCAATCCACATCCGTGACCAAGACAAGAGTGTGAGAAAAAATTCAGTAGGCCAAGACACTTCAACTTGTCGGGGTCTAGAAGGAAAACACAGAGACAAAACGGAGCAAAAAGCCCCAAATGGTTGCCTTGTCTTGGCAGCCGGGTGCTGACTAATCAACTGTGTGGGCTTCTCAGGGGTGCCGAAAGGGGAGAGGGGGGCGGGGGGCTTTGGGGGCCGCTCATGCAACTGCAGATCACGACTCGGATCGGATCCAGCGGACCAGCAATAAATGCCCGGCCTGGCAGCCATTTGAATTGATTTTTTTTTGCCCCGGCTTAAATGCACTTTGAATCTGATATTGCTGAATGCATGGCAATTACTCACATTTAGAATTCAGTGCGTGTCACAAGTGCCGGATAATTATGGTTTTGAAAGACCGCTGGGCATAAACGATATTAATCTTTCACATCAAATGGATACGATTTGGATTAAAAAATTAGTCAATCCATTAGACGACTAATTTTGTGTTGTATATTGACGATAAGTTATAATTTACACGGTATTTGACGAACTATTGTGTGAAATCGGGATAACAAACAAAGCCATTCTTATCTTATTTTATGGTCGGAAAATGAAATTTAAAAAAATAATAGTAAAAATAAGTCGTAATAATCCTTAAAATGCTTATTAACTTTTTCAGATCTTTATAAAATTTACAATCAATTTTAAGGTTTTAAAAATAATCGATGTCGTAATTTAATTTCTTAGATTGACCAATTTTTAAACCCTAATAAACCTAAAAATACATTTCAGCTTTTACAGATCTTTATAAAATTTACAGAATATAAGTAAATTTTAGGGTTTCGAAAATATTAAGAAACTTGAGTTTATTGCCAATGTTATTTGTGTTTACTGACATTACCATTTGTTGCAATTAGCACAATTTAAGTATTATTCAAAGCATGCCATAGTTATCGTGATATACAACTCCATGAACAATCCAACATTATTTAATTTATCTATTGTATAACCAATATCAGTTTAATTATTGATTATTTAATTTCTTAGATTGACCAATCTTAAAACCGAACTTAATGGATTTGATAACTGACCTAGCCGCAATAATTTCTCTATTTAACAACTAATTAATGACGGTGAAGCACCAAAGCGTCCGACCATTAGGTTCTGCAACACATTCCAGCGAACAAAGCAAGCTAATGAGCCAAGTTTGGGTCTTAAGTCTTTTGTTTGGCCCGCTGGGAAAGTCGTAATCCCGGGCTCAACGCTTGACAAATTGAACATTTCGCGGTTGAGTAATTGAAAGCCGCGAAAGACGGAGACCACACGGCTAGGATCGTTGGGCACGTGCTGAGCGATGGAAGCTTCTGCAGCTACGCAAAGTCATTCGCACGTTTCACTTTCATCGAGGGGGGGCATTGAGGAGGCAGAGTGGCAAATAAACACATCAGGCGCCACATTAAGACATGACAATAAAGAAAAAGTGAGTCTGAGCTGTATTATATTTTCTTGACACTTTCGCAAGTTTTGTTTTCCCCGCTGCCCCTTCCGCCACCCCCCCTTTCATTGGCTGGCATTGGCCGATGCGGCGGCTACGTGATTTCAGTCCACTGCCAAAGGCTATGTTGTGGACACAGATGGACGTGGGACAGGCAATTGGCCGGCCGGCGGCCATCGCCTGCGTTTATTGTAATTAGAAAGTATTTAATTTCGAAAACGCTGTCCGCTCGCATATAAAAATGTTCGCATAAAAATAAATATAAATATCAAACAAAAAGACAAACGTGTGGTAATTTATTTTTTCCCCTCTTCTGTTTGCCCTCATGTTTCAGAGACAAACAAACGAATAAGTGCAGACATTAGTTCCGTTAAGATCGGATGCCAGATTCGAGATTAGGGAAGAGAAATGTCTGGCGGAGGGCAGAGTGCTGCGTATGTAAATTGGCCCGATAAACAAGATTTTTCATGTCCGAAACTAAAAGTTTCTCCAGGTGAAAATTGGGTTAATGAAGTGGAGATGGCGATGGAAAACCAACGAACCCAAAGAATACTGATGGACCAGTTTCTTTTGGTCAGGGGTCTGGCCACCTTATCTTTTAATGAGGAAGTCTGCCCATAAAGCTTGACTCAACTTGACTCTCTAGAGGATGGATGGCTATTTGGTTAGACGGATGGATGGACCATAAGTCTTTGGCAAACAAATTGCATGCCAGTTAACGAGTGTCGGTGGGCAAAAACAAAATGAAATTTCCAAATAATTAGAGCATGAAAAAATAAACAGCAAAATTGCCAAGACAGCCAAATGCGTTCAGTGTGTGGTTAGTTGAGTGGAGAGTTAAAATTTCTATTCGCCTTTTTTGGCAAAAAAAAAAAAGAAGGAAAAAAACGCCACTTACCACTCTCCCCTGCTGCTTCTTCTTCTTCTTCCTGGACAGCGGCTGATGTTTCTCTTTCACTTGGCTTAATTCAATTAAGACCTTAATTTGCCTAGTTCGCCAACTTAACAGCAATCCAAGCGATTTATATTTTTATATATTTTTTGATTTCTTCAATTTCACTTTGAACTAAACCACTTGAAACGGCAGGATGTCGCACGCACTTTCGGCAAAAGACAAAAATCAAATGTCGCTGGTACCACTGTGCGTATGATCGATACGTATGAGTGTTACACTTACAGATCAAGTTATTAGCTTGTATTAACAGTTAGCCGGAGCTGGTTTTTAGCCGCGTCTGCATCGTTGGCGTGCCGTTAACAGACTGAAGAAATGAAAAGCGTCGCAGGCCAAAGTAAGTAAGAGTGGTTCGCTCGTGGTTTTCATCCAACTGCCTGCGTCGACGTCGCCGTCGGCAGCGCAGCAGCAGTAGCAGTCTGCGCAGACGTCGACTTCGACGCCACCGCAACAGCCTAAAGCCAAAGTGGCTTTTTACAGCTTTTGGGCCAACAAAAGAACTGGCCGACGCGCAGTTACAGCTCCTAGCTCGGAAAAGATCCTCAAATGATTTGTTGTGGTTAATTGAAATTAACAGGAGAGGGGGGAGTGGGGCATGCAACAAATCGAGGGGGAGAGTCCACAGGAATGCACTGAATGCAAATCAACTCGGCCATAAATGCTAACATGTTTTAGCATTAGTTGCGGCGATGCTGTTCCAGTTTTGCAATCTGCTGGCGACAAGTTTTTGCTGGGAAAATCGATCCGACTTTGTGTGGGTCTCATGAATCGTGTTACACCCCTCGCTGATATACATCGATATAGCAATGGCCATATAGCAGACATAACAACAATTCCATAATTCTGACTCAGTGCCATGCGATGTATTTCAAGCCGTGCATCTAGCTTTTAATTGGCTTTTTAGGCTTTGCTCTGCATCCAAGGTCGTTTCGTTGTTACACAAAATGCCATTATGAGTTTAATTGAATTGTTTGTTTTGGTTTTTTTTTATTGTGTTTCCTCGTATTTTCGGTTGGTTTGTTAGGAAACCTATAAACCGATTGATATTTACCAATTAAAATGCGTAGCAACCATTTTTCTTGACTGACCTTTGCCGCCTTCTCGTTTGTTACAAATTAGTTACAAACTTACTGAAAACTATAATTAGGAAGAGTGCCAAACTCTGTGCTATAAGCTTAATTATATGGTTCATATATTTGCCATAATTAATGAATGCACGGGAAAAAAGGCCAGGGTAATAAAATGTGATAAAATTCCAATTTTCATTTCTGGCTTAGATAACTCTTGTTTTGTAGGTACTAAATACGGAAATTACTTCGGCTTTCCATCTATAAATTTATGTTTTCCTTATGAAAGTATTTATGTTTTTCAATAAAAAGTAATATAAATGAATATTTATATATTTATGTTTTGCTGCTAAAAAGCTTAAATTAAGATGGGAAGTCATCATATACATTTTTCTTTCTGTTTGCCAACTTCGTTGCCAAATATTCCGGGGTCTGCAAGAATTGGCCTTAAAAAGAGGTCTTTTTCAGCTTCTTTGACGGGCAATTAAAATATTCTCATACCGGCAGCCGCGGAGTTTCCGCTAAGCAAACAATTGTCTAAGTGAGACGTTTATGGATCGTGGAAATTGAGTTAATTAGCATATCATTCAGCGTCCGCCATTACCCATTATGCATTGGGTAACCCAAACAAGATGCGGTCTGACCGCCGGTCGGTCGCTTTTCCATCGCATTGCATTTTTCAATTTTGCAGCGGCAATCGCGAGTGGATGAGTGCATTGACAGGAGCAGCGAACGCAGCCTCGCCGCAAATCCAATCAGTCAACTTGTCATAACGCCTGCCCACCTGTCTCACCTGCCGCCCCAGGTGGGCGTGAGTTATGTGCGGACTGATGACGAACGAGGAAGGTCTCCACCTCGCGGCCTGAGTTATGTGACGAACTCTTTCGGAGATCGGAGATCATTCAACCGCGACCGCCTCGAACTTCCGCCGGCTATGGTATTTCCACTAGAACAAAGCACTTTCACCTGCTCTGCAGTTCGAGAATCAATTGATTTCAATTGTCGGTCTGCCGGCGGTTGAGAGCAATTAGCGTTGACCTTTTCACAGGTGTCTCAGTTGGCTCACACGCCCAAGGCAATGCGGCCAAATGGCAAAGGTAACAGATCGCGACCTTCAGCCCTGCTTATGAATGCCTTTTCCCAAGCTCTTTGCGCATTTTCCACGACGTATGCGGAAAAGAGTTACGATATTTGCATAAAATTCGAGTCGAATGGTTCCCACAGCACCCAAATAGATCAACTTAATTGGGTATGTTTTTCTGGCATAATTCAGCTTAATTAGCCGTAGAATCTTTTCGGGCCAGGAGGCGATTGCGATAATCAACCGGCTGATGCAACACTGACAAGAAGACATAAATATCACTTATGCAATCCACTGGCTGAAGGAGAGAGCTGGGATGTCGATGCGTCGACGCATCGAGAGCCAAATGCATTTAAGCTCACGAAAGTAAGACAACTTTTTTCCACCTGCCCCCCCGGGGGTGATGTGCCCAAAATGCTGGCTGTTGGTGCTTTTGGCCATAAAACGCTTCCTGCTCCCGCTGCACCAGTGCATTGGTCAAAATGTGGTCGAAATCTAAACTGGATTGCCGGCGGAGAGCCTCTCGAGCCGACTTTTGCTTTGAGCGCCTCACTAGTTTCCTTCCTTGTGTGTGGATTTGGGTTAGCCAAACATTTATCTGCCGCTCGAGCTCTTGCTTTTTATGTTGATGTAGCTGATGGCAGGGCGAGATTGGGGGATAAACCAGGAGGGAACTCTGCCGGGCAGTGGGTGAAAACCACAGGGAATCGGTCCGGACAATGGGGTTTTAATCAGCTAATTTGGTGCAAGTTGTTAAGTACTTTCCTCTTTTTTATTTGAGTATGTCGATTGTATATTTATGGGAAACAATTATAAAATTTACAAGTTGTGTTGGCCTTTGCTCAATTACTCTATGGGAAAAGTAATGTGTATCAATAAAAAACGTTGAACTGGTAAAAACTTTCAAAGAACTACCAAATGATTGCCCAGCATACATAAAGAGCATCCACTCTCCGCATTTCACTTTTCTTAACTCCATTTCTTTTGGCTCACTCTGCCGACTGCAATTAAAATTTTGTAATACGGTGACCAAAAAAAAAAAAACAGATGGAAAATATATCCAAAACACAAATAAGAGCGCGATGAAAAATTACGACAAAAAAACATTTGCTTTAAACGGTCACATGGAATGTGTGTTTTGTCGGGCAGCGAATAATTTTACCACTTTCAAAAATGATTTTCAATTTCACTGCGCCGCCTCGATCGAAACTATAGGCCAGGGTGTCGGCAAACGGCGACTAAGTGAAGAGATACGTATGTACGTACACATAATAATTATGCATGCGGCGTATTAAAAAGCGCGAACCTTAGAAACGATTCAAAAACCGAATGAAATCGAAAACGAATTGAATCGAATTGAGTTGAGTTGAGTTGAGTTAAATTGGGGAAATGGCCGCGGGGGGGATGATAATTTCACTTTCCTTTCCAAAACTCGCTGCAGTGACTCCGACTGCATTTCAATTTTCCGCGTTGGGCGTGTGAGTGTGTGCGGATAGTTTTTCATTTTCATATCGTTTTGGAGTGGTCTCTTCAGTTGGCATGTTAATGTAGGTCCGAAAGTGTGATCGAGAGCAGAGCGGCAGGTGGAGGGGGGCGAAAGTCCGGTGCTGGAGCACAGGGAAACAATTAAATCCCATGAAAGTGATTATCGAAACGTAATTTCACTGCCAAAATTTCTGGCTTAATGTAATTTCAATTACGTGCTGGCCGGAAACGAAATCGAAGACAGGCTGCCCGAAAATGTCAGTAGTCGCTCACGATGTCACATCGTATGGTTGGCAAATTGTAATGTGTTCCTCGGTGAGTCACGGATCTACGCTGTGGCATGCAGATAGTTGCGACCTGTCTCATTTATCAAATTGCGTGCAGAGAGTTCAGGGCGGGTCAAGAAACCACATCCAGGCGATACAGTCCGATTCGTCGCAGTAAAAGTGGTTCAAATCAGGCAATAATTTACCTATTTAATGCAGTACAAGAGTGAATATAAAGAGCAAAACTTAAATTCCATAACAAGTAAAAAGATAAATAAGAATTATACTATTATCAATATTATTTGTGTTCAGTATATCTATAACCTATCAAGGTTAGGAATATTTCGAAAATGATGTATAGTGGTATTGCCAAAAATGTATCACCAAGTCTTCAAGAAAAGTTTTTAATATTCAAAAAAATATTTAAAGATAAACTCCATCATAGAAAAATAAACATCTTTTACTATTTATCCAGCAGCTCGATTTGGGAATAATAATTTTCAGGAAGATGGTCTATTAATAGCTGAGTTATGCCATTTCATTTTAAATTAAATATTGATTTAATTACTCAAAATGCGTTAAATTTTACTTTCCCTAGTTTTCCCCAATGCTAACATCATAATGTTATCTTAGATCTCAAAGTTTGACTAATTAAAAACGAGTAAGTAAAGGAGTACCCAGCTCAAAAAGTACTCCTAAACTCCTGCAACGCGCTGTGATGTTCGTTAATAATGCAATGTTTGCGGGCAAATAAAATTGAATCTCAACGTGAATTATTTCACCCGCCTTCAAGTGCACGCTGTTTTGTGGGTGCGCTGTTGACTATGAGTGAAATTTCGCTGTTTGTCTGTTTGACATGGAAATTAGTAGCAGCAATAGCGGTACGAGTACAAGCACAACCACTGCGGAGAAATGTTATAATGTCTGCCTAATGAGCTTGGCACACCGCTGCGTATACTTGATGTACGTACGCATAAGAGGGTGTACAAATGCCATGAACATGAACATTTTCCAAAGCCAAGCCCAAACAGTCCACTTCAAGCTCATAGTTTTTGCGCTTTAATGCTTCACTTCGCTTGTTGCTTCTTTGGCGCCTTTGGCTTTTCGGCTTTTTGGCTTTTTGGCTTGTAAATTGTAAATTGTTTCAAAGAGACGCGCTCTCACCTGTTGTTGCTATTGCTGCGACCCATATTCGTGTTAATCATTCGCTGAATTGCACTTTATGGCGTTAGATAAGGGCCTTGCTGGTATTTTGACAATTGACAACAGATTATGTAAGCCAGCGCTGCTGGGCAGCCGATGTCCCCTATTCGATGTAATTTTCGCGCCATTGTCGCGATCTCGATTCGCTCCACTCCCCAAATTGAAATGCACTTAAGCGAGCGTCGCACGTTGGCGGATGCTGCAGACGCGCTGCCACAGATAAATCACCAAAATCATCAGCGGCGTTACGAACAGAGGCCGCTGTAATCGAGTATTCCTACATACATACATCCACGATATAGCTATTCTCTTGGGCGAAATCGAGTTTAGTTTTATGACTGCTGCAGAGAAAGAAACTTTATATGGCAAAGGGTAGCCATTAAAATCTCTTCCGATCGAATGAAGTATGTGGAAAATGTCTATCAATAGACTATTTAAAAATCATAAAATAAAAACGAACAATTTTGTACAAAAACTCTGTAATACCATCGTATATTTAAAAGCCCAAGGCTTAAGACATACAAAATTTTTGACGCGTTTGATTTGAGCTCCTGTTCAACTGATGAAAGTATCAAAATGACTTGATATTTTTAAGTATTCAATTTAATAAAATGAATTTTACAAATTGGATACTGATTAGAGTATTGAAAGTGAACACAATTACTAAATTGAATATTTCGTGTTCAGTATTGATTTTATTTATTATGTATCCCAACTGAACAAAATAATATCAATCGAGATAAGATTATAATTGTAAACTTAATCCAATATCACATATTTCCCTACAATAACTTTCTTTTAAAAAAAAGCCACTTTAGTATATGTAAAGTTATACCTATATAGATAAAAGTTAAGTCCTATCTTATAACAATTCTAAAGAATAGTTTCATGAAATGTTCTAATTTGACCTTGAATATAGTGGATAGATTGGAAAAAAGTTTTTTTCCTGTGCACTTGAGCTGTTTTCTTTTGATAAAGCATAACGATGTTGCCGCTGACGCAGGCGCTGACAGCGAAGTCCGGATTGCGTAAGATCCAGGCCACGACAGGCGGGCCGTAAATTGGCCGAGATTTTGCGAAACGCAGCTCGAGCAGTTGCAATTTCATGCATGCCGATTTTTATGTGAACAACAACATTAAAACAACTACAGTAACAGCATCGAACCTTATGACCATTGTACAATTTGGGTGAAAAAGATATCTCTGCCAATTGCGGTTCGGAAAGCTGTGATAAAAATAGCCCAAGAAAGCAAAATCGCGAAACATCAAATTGTTTATTGTGTGATACCTGAGTATTGGCAACGCTCTCGCGCAAGAAGGGTGCAAAAAGTAAAACATTAAAAATGGTCAATAGTAAAAGAAACGAATAGCAAATACCCTAATACATTTAAAGGGAAAATTATCAAAAAAATACAGTCCTTGGAAGCAGATTCAATATGCAGTAGCAATCAAATGTATTCGAATTTTACAGATAGGTAATATATAAATAGTTGCAAATTGACTAGAATTATACAAAAATGATGTTTTTTTCATAAATTATAACAAAGTAACTGGCCATAAATTTAAAAACATATCCTTTTTTTTTAATTTTGTTATCAAAATTAATGTACCCTTAAAGTAAGTCTAAAATGAAACATCAGTTTTGAAATCGCTCGTGCGAATTTAGTTATGCACGATATTCCGCGCAATTGAAGCGATTCCCCAGTTGTCATTCATTCATGCACTTATTCAAGGCGAGAGGCGTTGAACTGACAAAGTTCGATGGGGAAATGGGAGAATTTAATTAAATTTGAATATTTCCACACGCCATTATAAAGCTTATTTCTATAAGTAAACACTTAAATTGAAATCGCATGAAAGCTTACAGTTTTGGAGCCTCTGGTCTTGGCACTCGACAGCAAGCCGACACACCCCCAATCTCTAGACCCCCGACGCACACACAAGCCCCTGCAAACGCTGAAGGTCAGGGAAAGTAAATGAAATCGAAAGTTTTGCCCAAGCTGATAACCGAAACAACGGCACGTGTCTCCCAATTAGAACATAAATCAAATAAAAGCATTGGAATGGCCAGAGAAGAAAAGCTTTTGCCGGCGTCACTGGAATATGTACATATACATATATATATATGTTAACCATATGGTGCGAACGAGAGGAAGCGAAACTATATAGAACTTGTTTTGATCTGGCAGAGTTGTCGGGGCGCCAAAAACCCCCAATTTAAAAGAAACACCAGAACTACAGGGCCCTTCAAATTTACTTGATGTGCTTTACCTTAAATGATCTCTTAGAGCCTACAACAAACAGTTATATCTCTTTATTAAGCATTTCTTACGAAGCATTTTGTTGGTCTTATCTTTAAAGGTATTCAAATGATAATAGATTAAAAATGGCATATCACCAAAAACTAGTGTTAGTTGAAACATAATATTTGAACATGAAACTTATAAAGAGAATATTAAATGGTACGATATTTTGAAAATACCAATATTCATTTATTGAAAGTAATATAATATTTTTCATTTTTTTGATTAATAATTGTTGTTTAAAAAAATTATAGGTACATTTTCTAAATTAGAAAAATTAGAAAACACCTTATAAAATTATATAATGTCTGATATGATTCGATATCACAACGATCCTAAGAAAATAGGTATTATTTATAACCATTTAAACATTTAATCGCTCTTTAAGTGGACTCGACAACTCTTTGGCAGCCGCTGGAACGAAGTGAAATTACGCGACTCGCTAGAAGCAGGGAGCAGTGTGCTTCTGACAGCGGTCCGATCGCGTAGAACTTTAGCAGTGTTAGCCTTATTCCCCAGACTTCTAGATCAACAGGTGGGTGAGATACTTTGGCTAGTTGCCTGTCCGTGATTACATAACGATTTGGTATTTTTCGCAGCCATGTCGCTTCGCGTGATGTCCCCCGCCATGCTCAACGCCTGGAGCCAGACCCTCGTCCGGGCCATGTCCACCCAGGGAGGCAGCAAGAACATCGGCTTCGTGGGCCTGGGCAACATGGGTGCCAACATGGCCAGCAATCTGATCAAGGCCGGCCACAAGCTGCATGTGTACGACATCTCCAAGCCCGCCTGCGAGGGTCTGGCCGCCAAGGGAGCCACCGTCTACGCCAAGACCTCGGAGCTGGCCAAGAACTCGGACTTCGTGATCACCATGCTGCCGAACAACGCCATTGTGGACGCCTCCTACGACGAGATGACCGCCGATGGCGTCAACAAGGACACCATCTTCATTGACTCGTCCACGATCTCGCCGGAGCTGGTGAAGTCGCTGCAGAAGAAGATCAGCGGCAAGGGTGCCCGGTTCATCGATGCCCCCGTTTCCGGCGGCGTTCCCGGCGCTGAGCAGGCCACCCTCACCTTCATGGTGGGCGGCACCGAGGCGGAGTACCAGGCCGTCAAGGCCGTCCTGGAGTGCATGGGCAAGCGGATCACCCACTGCGGCGTCTATGGTATGGGCCAGGCCGCCAAGCTGTGCAACAACATGATGCTGGCCATCTCGATGATCGGCGTTTCGGAGGCCATGAATCTGGCCGTGCGCCAGGGACTGGACGCCAATGTCTTCGCCGAGATCATCAACTCCTCCACCGGCCGCTGCTGGGCCTCGGAGATCTACAACCCGGTGCCCGGTGTCTGCCCCACTGCTCCAGCCAACAGGGACTACGCCGGCGGTTTCTCCACGGCCCTGATCACCAAGGATCTCGGTCTGGCCTCTGGCGTGGCCAACTCCTCCAACTCACCCATCCCGCTGGGCTCGCTGGCCCACAAGGTCTACCAGTCGCTGTGTGAGAAGGGTCTGGGCAACAAGGACTTCTCCGTCGTGTACGACCTGATGAAGAAGGAGAAGTTCGGCGTTTAGAGTATTCACTGGCTGAATTAGAAACCGATCCACACCAGTCCTGCATTTATATACCACTAAGTTTAGGGATTACCCTCTTTGCAAATTCGACTGTGCAATCACCATGTTCTATGCTAAAATTAAAGACGTATTCGTTTATCGTATTGAGTGAAAAAGTTCCATGCTGTTGCGTAATCATGGTCTGCTCTGCTTGGGTCTGCGGGTCTGGGAATCGTCTGACGAGTGGAACTCCGAGAGCTGATAAGCGTTTTTTAACATCTGTGGGGCTTTATTTTATTGCCACTTGTGGGACCCCGGCAAAAACAATTTACAATTGTGGCTTATCTCCTGCACTCGTGGCATGAGATTCCACATGGCGATCGTTTTTAATTCATAAAGCTCCCCAGGTAAACAGAGAACTGAGCAAAACAAACAACAATGAAAATCGGAATGGAAATTATGGCGTGGTTAACAAAAGCTCTCCGATTGAGAGGCACTGATGGAATATTTTGATAGATAGTTTTAGGTGCGTAACATTAAAGCTCACAGTTTGAGAAAAGTATATTCAGCATAAATACCTCATTCAGTTAGAATTGCCACAAATCGCTAGGTAAATATTGGACTAATTTATTTCCTATGCGTTACTCTGTCAATTTCAATTAGAGACCACTGTTAAATTAACAAAGATATAAATATATCTTGCTCAAAAATATTTTTCATCAGGGTTTCACTTCTCACTATTATTAGAAACGTTCTGCTAATTTCTGTGACTTTAATTGTATTAAATTGAAAATACCTCATTGATTTTGAATCATCACATAACCAGTTCCTTTAAGAAATATCATAGTATAGTCTGATGAAATAAACTAAAATAAAATTGAATTAATTTTGATAAACATCAATCGAATGCTAAATGTTTTAATAATCAATACATATACAACTTTAAAAATATATTGTATTTTGCAGATTTTTTTAAACGGATCTGATTTTAATCTGTCATACAGTTATGGAAAGATAGATATGCTTCAAAGGAACGCCAGCACCATTGGCTTTATTGGACTCGGCAATATGGGTGGGCACATGGCCAGTAATCTAAATGTTTACGATATATCCGAAAAGGCCTGCAGCGATCTTAAGGCTCAAGGAGCAACAGTTTACTCCAAAACCCCCGATCTCGCCAGGAACTCGGAAATCGTCATCACAATGCTGCCAAATAACTCTGTTGTGGATGCTTCCTACAAGGAAATGTTAGGAGATGGTGTCAGCAAGGGCACAATTTTCATTGACTCTTCCACGATTTCCCCGGAATTAGTTAAATCCCTGCAAAAGAGAATTAGTTTCAAGGAAGGCAGATTTTTAGATGCTCCAGTTTCCGGTGGAGTTCCAGGAGCAGAGCAGGCAACACTTACTTTCATGGTCGGTGGAGCTGAAAAGGACTTCAAGGAAGTTAAAGATATCCTGCAGTGTATGGGAAAGCGAATCATCTATTGCGGAATCCATGGAATGGGACAGGCAGCTAAATTGTGTAATAATATGATGTTGGCAATATCAATGATTGGAGTATCAGAAACTATGAATCTTGCCGTTCGCCAAGGTCTAAATCCCGAAATATTTGCCGAGATCCTCAACTCTTCAACTGGACGCTGCTGGACCTCAGAGTTCTATAATCCAGTACCCGGAATTACTGCCTCCACTCAAGCCAACAAGGTTCCCATGGATTTAATCAACAAGGACCTGGAACTGGTTGCAAATGTAGCCACCTCTTCAAACTCCCCCATTCCCATGGGCTTTCTGACCCACAAGATCTACAGCTCCTTAATTGCAGAAGGATTTGGCGGCAGAGATTTCTCAGATGTCTACGCTTTAATGAAAACAGAGAAATTCCATTATTAGCAAAAGTTTTGTTTCCTCTCTCATTTGCTTATATGTATGTTTAAATATAAATATATGTTTATCGCATAGCATGGAAAAACTTGCTTTTATTGCATAATATTTTAGACCAAGAGAAGTGTTTTGCTGCTGATAAGCATTATCAAAATAATGGTGCTATTTTTATTGTCCAGTATGACACCCCCGCTCATGCCAAATTTTATCTCAAACTAATTTCCAGTACTTGAAAGCTTAATTGACAAGTAAACAGAGAACTGAGCAAAACAAACAGAGATAAAGAACGTGGCAACATACAAAATAAATCTATTCGAGAACGTAAGCTATCTTCGGCAAACCGAAGTTTTAATATCCTTTGTAGTCATACCGAAAATTAATATAGACATTCACTTTGCAAAAATACATTTGTCAGCTATCGAATATAGTCAACTCAAGGGATGGATAATGATATAAAACCATCATTTCATAAATTTAACAAATAATACCTATCGTTCCTAAGACAGCTATAGGATATAGACGTCCGATCTGTGACGTTTATCTGTGCACACATATAAAAAAACGATGGCAAAAGTTTATACCCTCTGTACGTGATTAAAAAAATTAAAAAAGGCTTTTAGATTTTAAAAGAGAAGTTTGAAAAGCACTATACAGTTTTGGTGCATTGCCATCAGTTGCCAAAACAGTTTTAGCAGCATTCATCGGTTTATATTTTGAGCGAAATCCAAAAATATTATTTTTATTTTTGCCATCATATATATATATTGAAAAATAACAAACTTAACTTAGGTGCTAATTAATTAATTGAGTTTGGTATGTATATAAAAACTTTGTTGTTGCTCTTTTGTGGGGTATAAAATAGTTTAACTATCTAAAAGTATCAAATCGATCAATCGGAGTGGGTTAGAGTAGCAATTAATTTATATATAATTTTATGGCTGGGCCGGGGCCTTTACTAGCTGATTATCCTAGACATAGTTAATAAATATAAATTTTAGAAAACGTTTTGAACAATCTTTTCGAATGAAATAATTACAATCATTTTGGTTAGGATTAGGCTTATTTAGGTATATATGTAAAGGTATATAATGAAGAAGCGTCCTTAAAAGAGTCGAGTGCAATCGAGTGTTAAATTGTAAATGGAGTTGAGGGAAACTTCGGTGCGGTACGGAGCTTCCGTGGGTTAAGTCACATAAGTAGTAAGCCTAGTTGCAAAATTCTTCGAAAATATCACAAATTGAAATACACAATAAATAATTAATCGCATTTGGATTCGCGCAAAAGGAATCTGGTAGTTAGCAATTTGAGTTGTGGTAAATATTCGAATAGATCTTTGAGAGAGAGGTTACCTTAGGTACATGCAATGTTTCAATAGAGTCCTAAATCCACTATCATCGTGTATGTACATAATTGGTTTGTGTAAATAGTTGGAGTTCTGTGTACATTTACATTAATTTTCTTTTCTGTGTATATATATATAATTCTAGGAAAATAAGTGAAGCAAACTTTGTGCTGCATAATTGAGTCAAGTTGAATTGATGTTGCCGTTTGTGGGTGGAGTTGGTTGACTTGGTGCCGCCCTCATACCTCGATTCTTAACAATCTAACTAACTTTGGTGTCTAATTGAATTCGCTATGGCTCAGACTGAGGCTCTTGGCCTGGCCAAACTTCTGCTTCAGCTGGCTGGTGTTGGCCCGGAAGCGCTGCATCAGCTGCTGCTGCCTACCGCCGGATCTGCTGCCACTTCCTCCTGCTCCTCCTCCTGCTCCTCCCACTCCTCCCAATGCGCTGGACTGCAGCGGCGAAAGGGACGCCATTGCCGCATCAGCGCTGGTTATGGACTATGATCCCTTCAGCTTCTTCTTCGGATTGTTGCGGGTCTGATCGGTGGGCGCCGATGGGGGCAGCTCTCGATACTGGTTCTAAAAAAATTAAGTTATTCATTATTATGTTAGAAATGTTATGTTAGATTATTCGGAGCATCAGCAAAATAAATATTTAAAAAGAAACTATAAGCTGTATCATTATTTTCGAAGTTTTTGATTTGCTGATCTTGTTATAAAATAAAACTTTACAATTAAAAGATTTTTTAAAACATTAGATTGTTTAGGCAAGAACTTATTTTGGATCTCTAAAGATGACATTTTTGGTCAGTTAAAAAAATCAAACATTATTGTAATGGGTGCAAACAATTCAATAAGCTGGGAACTTTTTCAAATTATTTTAAAAAAAGCTTTTATATTAGTCTTTAAATTCAGACTGATAACTTCAATATTTTTTTTTTCTTCTATACTTTATAAGTTCAAAAGGTCACTCACAATCTCCTCGTTATCTGGCACTCGTGAGAGGAAGTCCAATAGCTCGTTGTTGGGAATGGTATTGGGTCTCAGCAAACGCCTGGAGAACTTCATCAGGCCCCAGAAGAGGAGCAGCCAGCGGAGTGGGACAAAATGCAGGACCAGAATGGCACCCAACAGGAGGACCACAGCCAGCCAGGTCAGTTCGGGGACGGAAAAGTTGAATGTGCTATGGGATACAAGAAATTCAATTAAATTGTAACGCATTTTAATATAAACAAGAGAAAACGCTATAGTCGGGTGACCCGACTATCAGATACCCGTTACTCAGGTAAAGGGAGTGCGAGGGAGATGGAGATAGAAACTTTGATCACGCATAACTTTTTAACGAATGGTCCGATTTGAAAAATTTCTTCTACATTTCGATAGGTATTGATAAACACAATAAAACTGCATTTTTACTTTTCCGAAATATTTAAATTTTTAAAATCTTATATAAGCGATTGTGGGCGTTAAAGGGGGCGTGGCACCATTTTGAAACAAACTTGCGCTGCGTAAGAACTCCTAGAATCTGCTTGCAAAATGCCAATCTTCTAGCTTTTATAGTTTCCGAGATCTCAGCGTTCATACGGACAGACAGACGGACAGACGGACAGACGGACAGACGGACAGACAGACGGACAGACGGACATGGCTAGATCGACTCGGCTAGTGATCCTGATCAAGAATATATATACTTTATAGGGTCGGAAACGCTTCCTTCTAGCTGTTACATACTTTTGCACGAATACAGTATACCCTTTTACTCTACGAGTAACGGGTATAAAAACTCTCACTTGATGGTGCTTTCGCCCAACGAGGCCAAATAACCTATGGTGTTTTGCACAGTTTGGGAGACTTCTTGGATGGCCTGCAATCTCTCCTTGATGGACTTCTTCTCTTCCTTCTCCTTGTCATCGTCATCATCTTCATCGTACTCATAATCGTAGTGTGCAGCGGCATCTGTGGTGCCCGTTATAAGGCGAACGAGCCAGTTTCTAGAGGATCAGTCAATACATTATTATAGATTATATTGCAGATAACTAGCATAACTACAAACTTTAGTATGATAAGTAGTAGAACTAGGGGTACTGTCTCCAGATCGCCATAAACACAGGCCACAATCCACAAGACGAAAGCTATGCTGGAACGCACAGGGGACTCCCACTCAAAGCAGCTCCTTTAGAAAAGAAAATAAACAGTTTAAATTAAATTAAATGTTATTTAGAAACCTTAATAAACTTACTGGACATAACGCGCTGCATCTAGGATATCCATGATAATCCCCTTGAGTCTGTTGACATTGCGCAGGAAGAGCTGTCTCTTGAATTTGGCTTCCTGCTGGATGAGTTTCTCCTCCTTCGGCTGAAGAGCTCGACAAACAGCCCTGATCTCACTCCAAACCACCGTCAGTTCCAGCTGAATTTGCGGTGAGTTTCCCTTGGCCCGCACGCACAGGTTCTTATCCTTCAGCGTGTACCATCTCTTCACTCCGCTCTTGATCCTCAGGAGGGGGATGACTAGTTTTCCCAGGAACTCGACGCGATGATCGCGATCCTCATCGAAGACGGTGATCTCCAGTACCTGTGTGATGTCTTTGACATTGCTGAAATAGGAATAAAATAAATTGATGGCCGTAAAACATAAAAAGTCATACTCACAAAGTAAATATCTTATTCCAATTAGGGGTGAGTGTTTTATACTCCGTTTGGGTTTGCAGACGGGCATTTCCCAATTCTAGAACACAAAATGGATCGGATTTTCCACCTATGTCCGCAGCAGCCAGTCCAGTGGCTCCAAAAACCTTTACAGTCAGGTGGCCCACATCGCGTAGATTTTGTAGGCATCTTAGGAATCGATATCGATCTCTTAGCAGTTGAGCCTCCCGAGGATCTTCTTTGAAAGCCTTCAAATCGCTGATCGTCTCTAAAGCTGTGGTTCCACTGATGGTGAGCATGAGGTGGACTTCACCAGGACAATCTTCAAGTGGCTTCCAAATGCCATGAGTATTCTCGCGCTGGAAAACGCTCAGGTCGATGATGGCCCTGCCATAGAGGGTATTTCGATTCCAAAGGGCCAGTTCCAGGTTTTGATCTTCATCGAAAAGGTGCAAATCGAACTGCTCCAGCCAGCGTTCCGTCCAGGAAGACTTGCTCTTGTACTTCTCATTGCCCAGCCTGAATTTATAAGCAAAAATCATTTAATATAATAACCAAAACATTAAATATGTTAATGTGATTGTAAGTGATACATGTGACACTGATCTGTTGTGGTTTCTTGCACCAAACTCACCTAAATTTAAAGTGTGTGTCATTCAGCTTGCTGCCATCTTCAGCCAGCGGCAAATCCTTGGCTTTAACCAGCAGAATGGTGACCACCGAGCTCCAGATCTGCGACTTCAATCGCTTCGATGACTCGGCCAGTTTCGAGTTGCGCTGGAAGTGCTGCAATAACTCCGGAAAATGAGCCTCGGCCACCTCCATCAATTCGTCGCACCCCTGCTCCAGTTGCTCCCTCAGCTCCTCGTGCTGGCGCCTCACATGTTTGAGCACCATGCGAGGAGCTTTCTTGCAACCGGGCCAATTGTTGCCCAACATGATCCCCGATCGAGAGCTCAATTCACAACGGACAGCGAATTACAAAGTCCCCGAAACAAACACAAAAAGCCGCGC